ATAAAATGGTTCCTGTTTAAGCCAGTAACCCTTATCGGGAAACAATAAATTTATGGATCTATAATAATAAGCTTTTGGTTTTGTGATTTGGGAACAATAAAAGGCATCTTTTTCGAACATCAGACAATGAGACTTGACAAATTTAGGAAGTCTTATTTCAGCTTCTTCTATTACTCGTCAGATTTTTCTTTTTGCTGCCATTGAGTTTTTCTTTCAATTGTCAAAGCTTCAGGAAAGTTTTTGTAGACAATAGCTTTATTCAATGCAACCACAGTGACTGGCACCATATGAGATTCGCCATTGTATGCGTTTCCGTCTTTCAATATGAGATTGTATGTGTATGCGTTTCCCGTCTTTCAATATGAGATTGTATGTGTATGCGTTTCCGCCTTTCAATATGAGATTATACGCGTTTCGCTATTGTATGTGTTTCGCCAATGTATGCGTTTTGCCTTTTCGGTTCCGCCATTCGAATACTGGCAACCATAAACATAAAGACATATTCCCCAGCTCATTAATCATTCAAAATCGTAAACTCATAAACTCGTTCCTATGCTAACACCGCCGCCGCCGCCGCCGCCGCCACCACCACAAAAAGATGCAAGCAAAAAGAGGCCTTCAGCTCTCCCAAAGGACTCTTCGGTTCCCCAACCTACAAACGTAAGACCCTTATTGGAACGAAAAAGTCGCGGCATGGTCTCAGAAATTGTGGTTACCTATTGTGTCCGACTCTGCCGTGACTTCATCCACTCCCCACATACTACAAAACTCATGCTCCGATGAGCACGAACTTTCCCAAGATATCCCTGCAGTCAAGCAAGGATCCGACGAAAACCCCACTCTAGGCAAGATCAGGACAACGGCAGCACGCAACAAACGACAACGTTTGGAAACTCTCAATCGTACACTGCCAATCAAATCTATCCGAATCATCTTCAAAAGCAGCTACTGAAACGGTGGATGGGTTTGTCGAGATATGCATATAATGCAAGTTGTCCGCTGGAGTCGACACCGTCGCGTCTATACCAAGGATTCAGGTGTTGGTCCATCACGACGGGTTTGGATAAAATCTCAACCAATTGACGATAAGCTTAGACTTTACACAGATGTTCGTGTTGGAAAATATGTTAATGAACGTGAGGACAAAGAGACTTCAGAGATCATGCGTATGGGGTGAACGCAAATTTATGCGTGTTGGAACTCTGCTTCAAGGTACACATGGAAAAGCGCCTGCAAGCGTTATCGATGAGGCGATTGATGAAACATTAACTGCTTGTTATGCTTTGTTGGTTTTTTTCTTTTTTTATTTATTTTATTTATTTTTAACTATATATGTGTACTAATATTAATTTTAGGGACGGGATAATTAACGGATCAACCACGCATTATCATTTCGCTCTCGAAAGAATTTACGACAGACGATAGTAATTCGTGCGCAGAGTTTTTCAAGAATTATGTGGAACCGTTTTTATGTCACCTATCTCCATACTCCATCAATGCTTTCCGCAGACCGCCGTAAGCCTGTTAATCACGCCGGACGACAAACGCGATTTATGGCCTCTTTATTTCGAAAAAAAAAGGCACAACAATAAGTGGCCCGCTTCCCACCGCGTAACATCCGGCTGCAAGTTCACCTATATTCGCAAACGAACGAATGGAAACTTTCCTGGGTTTACGAGGCGCAAAGACAACTCCGCGAAACCTAAGCGGATGGCTCTGTTGATGCAGTTTCCATTGACCCTGGCGTTCGTACACTGTTCACGTGGTACTCTCCAACCAAAGGTGCAGGCAAAATGGCCAATACGACATTGGACGAATTATTCGTCTGTGTCAATACATGGATAATCTACAAGTCGACCAAAGACAATACGACATTGGACGAATTATTCGTCTGTGTCAATACATGGATAATCTACAAGTTGACCAAGGACAAACTGGCTGCCTCTAGTTCAAAGCGTAAGAAGAAGCAGGCGATACGGCAATCTTTCGGATGCGACGAAGAATCAAACGCCTACAAAGCGAAGTTTACAAAAAGAGAGTCGCATTTTTCACTCGTGAATTTGATGCCATCGTCATTCCTCCTTTTGAGGTATCAAATATGGTAAACCGAAAAGCACGAAAGATATCACACAAAGCCGTTCGTAAAATGTTCTGTTGGGGCCACTATCAATTTCGCCGACTTGTGAAGAATTAGGGGTCGCATTATTATCCAAAATGAGGCCTACACTTCGAAAACTTGCAGCTGGTGGGGATGAAAATAGCGCTCGGGGAATCTTTCTCCGGGCATTGCTTGATGGAGCCTTGATTCTCTCCGGAGAAATAGTAGTAATTAGTAATGCCTACTATTGATGTGTTACAATCCATCCGGCTGATTACTTCTCACATGATAATTACCTCCCCCCTGGCGTTATAGCAATTTTGTATTCCATATTACGTCACATTAAAAACTCAACATTCTTTCTGGATCAGTTTGATTGATAAAATGCTGCGCAACCAGTGACGCACGCTCACCCGCTAAACCCGGTTTTTTTTCCATACCTTCCCTCCCTTCCTCACCGTTACTACCAACCACTTGTGCATCTATGGCAGACACTGAAGATAACTCCGCTGGGCCCTCAGTCAAAGCACACGAAGAGGAGAAGGTATAAACATGGGATAGCGTGATTAAGTGTGGATTACGCGCGTTATTTCACGAGAGAAGAGTCACTGTGCCAGAAAGGATTAGATTAACGGGGTGAAGGAGGAGTGTATGAAGACAAGCAAATGAGGAGGGGGGGAAAAAAAGAGAGAAAGAATTTACTACAATAACTATGGAAGAAAGTAAAAGTCGTTCGATTAGAAAATGTTTGTTAATTTTATAATATTTCCTCTGGATACAGGAAGAAGCGCCAGAGTCTCCTGAAGTCGAATTTGAACCGGTCATCAAACTTAATCAAGTGGAAATTAAGACTCTCGAGGAAGATGAAGATGTTTTATTTAAAATGTATGATGACATGTTTTTTGTAACATGGCGATTTCAAAATGCGTCAACCATCTTCTTTCTTTTCTCGTTTGCTTAATATTATTTTTTTATTGAATTTTTTTTTTGCCGATGTCTATTGTTTATATTTTTATCTTGTTCGCTTGTCCATCCACACCCCACAAATTATTCTGCATGTCTCATTTCCCAACTTTCAAACAGGCGAGCAAAATTGTTTCGATTTGATAAGCCATTAAAAGAATGGAAGGAGCGTGGAATTGGTGATGTGCGTTTTCTTCAGCACAAGGAAACTAAGAAAGTCCGTTTGGTAATGCGACGAGATAAGACACATAAAGTGTGCGCTAATCATTACGGTAAGTTATCTGAAGAAAAAGTATTTTTATTTTTGATGTGAGAGAAAATGAGCTCTGTCTGTCTGATTAATGCCTGGCTAACATAATCTGTGATACTCGCTGTTTCCAGTCACACCGGAAATGCAGCTTTCGCCTAATGTTGGTTCAGACCGTTCCTGGGTTTGGAGCGTCGCTGCTGATGTGTCGGACGGTGAACCCAAGGCAGAAACATTAGCTATTCGATTTGCAAATCCAGAAAGTAAGTAACGTATTCCTAATGCTATCGGCTTAGTTGTCACCACGTTAGTTCTGAATAGAATTGTCTAGTATTATCAAAAGTCTACTTATAATTGATCAAAACGCTCTCTCTCTCTCCTTCTGCTACTTTCTGACTCTGTCTTTGCTACTTGCCAGATGCGAACACCTTTAAAGAGAAATTCCTCGAGGTTCGAGAGATCAATGCTGAGTTAATGAATAAGAATAAAAACAAAGAACAAGATTCCACCAAGGAATCTGACAAGGTACAAACAATAGGCGAGGAATCAAAACAGACGGATAAATCGCCAGCCGAGGCCAGTGATTAGGTGTGTGCGGGTCGACGGGTGGGAAGGGGTGTTGCTTTCTTATATTTTCATCTTTGATGTATTAGATAGTATTTTATGTCACGTGTGCCTTAGGATACGGACTATAAAGAGATTTGATATTTAGATGTCTTGTCCCCAGAAAAGGGTTTCATTTATCACTTTTACACGTCATTGTGATGATTACATGAACTATTAAACGATTTCGAGCTACGAGAATAATCGAGGCAATTACTGATTGTCTTTGTATTCTGCTAATAATTGTATAAATGCACCATTATATTTTTTGACTTTTTGCCAATCCCCGTGGCTAGTTATTTATAAACGCAACTCTTACTAACGATAATTGTCAAGGACGGGAGCATCTAATATGAGGGGGCATAGAACATTATCCTGGAACCCGCTTTGCCGCAAATCAAAAGTTAGAATACAATTGTCGAAACTACTTCTTGCGCGGTACAGGTTTAGAATTTAGTCTACAAAATAGCCCGATTCGTTTAACATGTAGAAACAGCAGCTTTATGTACTTATTCAGCATTTGTGCGCAACAATGTAAATATAAAAGGCAATACTACTAATCTACTAAACTAATCTAAATACTTTTTAATAAAAACCCTCCTTAAAATTGTCTGCATAGGCTATTCACTCGTATATTATCCATATTGTCACCCGACAACCAAAAGTTCGGCCCCTGGCCCCTTCTCCCATCCACCATCCACCATCCACCCATCCACCCATCCACCCATCCAATGACCAGTCTCAACCGTTTATTCTCTCGAAGCGGATAAGACTTACCGGGTTCTCAAGCGGGTGCGGCAGTATAATGACCAGCCCTTGATCCACGCCATAGTGATCTAGAAGAAAAGTAATGAGTACGAATAACATAGACATCGGAGAACTGACATATTTCATAATACATTACCCGGCACCAAAACCGGCACCCAGAAGTACTCCAGATATAACTGCTGCCGTCCAGACTTTGACAGTAATATCTCCGCTATACCTAAAGTTAAATAGCACGGTAAATCAGAGTTTACAACGCGAAAGTCACTTATATATTCCTTCCTCTATAGCGCCGAATAATTAATTTCCCTTCTTTACCACCTCCATAATTTCCCATCCTCTTCCCTCTCCGTTTGATTACATACCATTTGCTCCCATCGTCGCTACTCCCATCAACACTATGCCCACTTTCCTTCTTCCAACTTTTTCGCCCAGATCTCGAAACGTCGCTGATCTCATCCAACGATAGCGAAGAAACGCTTTCGTATTCACTCGTACTATTACTTTGACCATCTTCTTCATATTTTGCCCTGTTCAGATTCCGCCGCCTGCTCTTAGATTCGGAAACATAACCTTCTTGCTCTTCCTCTTCGTCGCTTTTAGTCAACTGGTCACTAGTCTCCAAGAACGACGTCGTCGGTGGCGATGATGGGGCAGAATAGACAATACGAGGTGAATGGCTGATGTTGAAACTACGCTCTATCATAGCTTCAGCTTTATCTTGGAACGGTGGCGACATTGATCCACGACTGTGTCGGACGCTTGTGCGGTGGTGAATTATTGGCTGCACAAATTTATGCGTGGTTGAGGATGATGTGTCTGAAGATGTTAAATTACATTGTGAATCAGACAAGTCGCGGTCCAGTACTGGGTTAATAGTAGTATCATTCGTGACTGCTGATGTGGAATTAAAGTGTGGGGATGTGTCACGAGAGAAGAATAGAGGTGGGGGATTGGTGGCTTTAGTGGCGAGTGTACGAAAGCGATTTGCTGTTCGGGCGCGGAGTTCACGTTCGCGGGCTTGGCGGAATCTTGGTCTTTCTGAGGATGCGAGTATTGTTGATAGACTAAATAACAGCAGGATGTATTCGATAGGGTATGAGAAAGCAGGTATCAAAGAGGAGAAAAACAAAAAGGGAGGAAAGGAGTGAAAGGAGGGTGAAAGGGATGGAACGGAGAACGGGAAAGAAAGGTAGGGGGAGGCTCAGGTAAACCAGATTTTTGGCAAACCAAGGATGGTTCTGCGACACACCATTTATCTCGAGTTAATGACAAACACGAGCCTTCCCTACCTTGCTCTTAAAGCCTCTTCTTGTTCGACTTCTATATTTCTAGGAAGATTCAACACACCACGAGGCCTCTCTTCCTGGTCTTCTACCGGGGAATCAGATATTAAGTCGTCGTCGTTATCAGCTTGGTATGCTTCGAGTTCGGAATCAGAGGTATGAATGTTGGGTGAAAGCGAGACCCATGAACCTTTTACACGACCCGGAAAGATAGAGCATAGAAATGGTTAAGAAATGCTATCAGTGTAATAATGACGAGAATGAACACGCCAAGAATATACCATTGACTGATTGGCGATTATGTATCGTTCGCTATATATATATTAGGGCAACACCTCGTGTTGCCTTGAAGAAGAGTTCACTCATACGAAAAAGATCAGAAAACTGTTCATTTTAAACGTAAACATACTAACCAATGCCTGCTGCTGGAGTTGATGTTCCCGTTAATAATACGGGACTTTCATATCGTTCGCCTTGATTATCATTTGCATCGTCACTAACTCCTACTGGACTGCCAGTTGAAGCCTGCGCGTATCGCGTAGTCATAGAAACGATTATTACTTTTAATGATTACCTAGTTTCTTATGGATATGTGTCGACTTTTTTTTTTACAATAAAGAAGAGTGGGGAGGAAGATGTTTGTTTGAACGAAAAATTATTTTACAATTAATGTATGTAGTATCTAGCGGATAACCCGCATACAGTTTGCCGTATTGAGTAGATGGCGAAATTTATTTGAACAGAATGCAGATGGATTATTGTTTTCGCAGTAACCGGGTAGGATATAGCCACGCGGACAATATACCACGAATAAAATTAAACCACAGAAGAAAAGTCTGAACTAGTTCGATACTAGAATTGTGGAAAAAACACAGAGAACACGGAAAATACTCGCCTTTGTTGACGGCGCAAAAGACCTTTATGACGCAAGTATTTGGCATGATCACGGGAACCGCGCATGACTCGATGCAGAATTCAGGGGTAAATTAGGTCTCTGACTTATTATTTCGAGACAAACTTTGAAGCTGGCAGGACTCATATTATTGGTGGTCACATTCGTCATAATCATTTGGAATTGGGTTATCATCAAAGGGAAAAAAAAGCGGTTGTATGCTGCAAAAGGGGGGGGATTATCCGTAATAGTAGTAAGCCTTATCAATGAATGAGTCGGTTAGTCGTATTGTTGGGTTTTGTGCAGTGAGCAACTATACCGCTTTTGGGAATTGTATTTGACCGTGAGAATCTACTGCAAATTCGCAGCGAATCTTGCACTTTCACAATAAAGTGTGGCAAATACTGTTTTACAAATGTGATGGCATTGTAAAACAATATAGATAAGACGATCATCCGTCATTGGTTGACCGGGTATATTTATTCGAGTGCGCGTATTAATGAGTCATAGATTAAAGAATTAAAGAAGATTCCACGGTTACAAATACATTTATAATTTAAGTAACACTTACAAGTCGATAATACCACTTTTAAAGAAAATCTAAATAATGAAAATTTTTATCACTTGTTGGGTCAACAATAAATTAGCAAGTCGTCATAGTGCATATTATAATATTTAAAGTACAGTATATTTGTGTAATGGTACTCCTTGATGATCTTACTTGTAAACAAAGAGTATCTCTAATAAGGATTGTTCCTTGCTTGAGCCCTTGCAGTTCAATGTTAGACCGAATGCATACTTGACGTTAACTAGAAATTACCTTTCTAAAGATTTGGACACGCGAGGATGAATGATCTTCTATGTTTGGTGGTTCGTGCTTGCGGATCATTTGTGTTACACCGACAAACTATCAGATCGTACACTAAGCTGTACCTCGAAGCTGTATTGAAATCGCAATATTAATATTAATTTACTATGACCGTATCAACGATGAATAATATTCCCACTGTATATACAACCGACATTATTGGATGTATTATCAATATATTTTCCTGTCACAGAGTTTGTTATAACAATGCACAAGTTTCCTTCCTTGATTTAGCGTCTCAAAGATCTTTTATATGGATGTAAAATAACCCAACTGCTTTTTATCAGCGAGAGCTGGAGTCAAGTATTAATCACGACAATATATATGTGAATTAATTTGCAAAGCACCCACTGCCAACTGACATTGAGTTGATTTAATGCCAGTATGTGCATTACTTTCGACATGCCCCAATACTCAGTCTTATCGCAAGGTATATTTGCTGTCTATGCTATATTGATAATTTACTTGATTGTATATTAAGCCACATCCAGCATTGTTCCCAATGGCTTAGGCGCTCTTTCTATTTTCATTGGGCATTTATACCAAATTCTAGCATCTGCATAATTTACCTGCAATCTGTAATCTGGTTTGGTGTTTGTTGATTTTTTTTGGTTTTTTTTTGCATTATTAATCTCTAATTTTCAGCACACATTATATTATTTATTTCCGAAAAAGGAGAAATATTACAAAGATTAACACATTCGCAATGTATGTGTTCCATGTGGTTTTCAAGTTTAATAGTCTCTACTGTTCATTACGGTCTTATTTTTAGCTCAGATAATCTCGTCTGCATTCCGATCCACCGAGCATGCCAGACGAGAATACCGTACAGTGCGTACAGCTAATCAAGTTCTTCAGACAAGTCTTAATAAACAATTGCTCTTACTCGAAGATTGGCTTAAAGTCTCAATTCTTGGCTTGCATGTCCAGCTCGCATTTGACAACAAGCGTAGGCCGTTAATTATTCAAAGATAGACTGACGACTCTCTTTGTAGTCTGTACCTCTCTTCCCACGACATACTCTTTCTATACTTGTCATCATCTCTTACCGGCTTATCCGCTTTATCATATAATATTACAAACGCAAGACTTTTATTCGATAATTTTACAAGTCAATAATTTGATCATTACAATTTTGATTTCACTCGTTCAACCGTGGCGGTAATCAATCCTTCACGAATGAAAACAAGAAATAATTCAATATTTTCTTATTACTACTTGAAACATTTCAAGCACGGCTTCCTCTCACCTGATGGATCCTCAAAAGGTACATAAATGTCCGCATCCGCTCCTGAATTCTTCAAACCAAATCTCTCCAAATCAAACGCGAAACAATGTTTGTTTGGCAATGCATAAGACACGGATGTAACTTCTTTGTGAGTTTCTAGTATTCTTTTTGCCATCAGATACAATGTCGCTTGAACCGAGACACTGTCATCCGTAGCAAAGGTATCCAGAGTGAGTTTACGTATCGAGTCGAATATGGTACAGTATGGGATCTTGTTTATCGCATTTGGACCGGAAATGGAGTATGTCCATGTTGCATCTATCACCGTCGACAGGATGCGATCTGTAGCTTCAGGAAGGGTTGTATCTAGGGAAGAGTGATATCAATCTTTGGCCAGCTAGTAAAGTGTGGGAATAGCCAGGTTCAAGACATCTTACTTACATTGATCTCGATGAAACCCATAAAAAGCTGAACCAGTCGTTTTCAAAACCAACAACCCTTTCAAGCCAGATTTTATTTCCACTTTATCTCTCTTTACCAAAACCTCCGCAATCCTTGTCTCTTCTCCGTCTCTCGCAAACGAATGATCGTGTAACTTCCCATCAACCAGCATTCTGGTCCAACGATGCTTTGTAATCAATACATTGGTTTTAGTCACGTGAGAATATGTGTCAACGAAATGCTTCCCGATCTCGGCTGCAAAGAGTTCGATGCATTTGATATTGGCAGTCTTCTTTGCGAGTATGTAAACCGTATTTTTCATCGTATCTGTAGCGATGACTTTGGAGTTATCGCCATGCGTATATGAAGTTTCAAAGTCGCCTTCAAGAAGTACTCGGACCTTGTTAGGTGATAAGTTTGAAGTTAGAATGTTTCTCTGATAAGGCTCTGTCAGCATGTTGGGTGATGATATTTCTTACAGTCAATTCAATAATTTCATGCCATTTTCCCGTCCGTATGACTTTAATAAGTCTTACACGGTCCTTGCCGTACCGTTGTTCTTTTAAAACAACTTCAGACATTCTTCGGGCAACGTAGCTTTCTGTTTGCCTATGTCATATGCACAATCTCCTTTATTTGGGTAAACTGAGAGGCTAGTGTGGCTGGAAGAATGTAACAGGTCAGATGATTCGTAATCAATGCCGTAGTACAGTCAAAGCTGGTTATAACGAATTCTACGGGACCGAAGAAAATATTCCTTATAACCAGAAATTTCTTATAATGAAGGACACTTTTTATAGTGAAGATTATAAGTATTGATAATTAGGTTCATTATATCCAGATTGCTAGAAACCGATGGTTTTTAT